ACACCAGGATAAAGCTTTTCAAGAGCATCCAAAACTAAATGTTTAAATACTTGTTTGCACAGGCCCAGCTGATATTTTATACAGAGTATGGGCAGATTCAAATCTTGCATTTCTGAGGAAGCAGCCTTCATAAACCATTTACAAACGTATTTTCAGAAAACCTTTAGAACTTGTACCCTTTGTCTTAACCAGCATTATGAAAAGGCTCTAACAGATGTAACAGGCAAGCAAATAATAGATTCTAAATGACTTGGTTTCACAGTAGGCAGAACATATTTTCAAATTATTCTGCTATTTAGATCCTCTTTCTGATTTCAAAACTAAATAGAAGTTATCAGAGTTAGAATTACATACCTACTGACTACTGCTTTTAATTATTCTAAACATATCTGGAATTACCATGAGGACTGATATTTATCAGTGCCAATTACTTTCAAGAGCAAGCAAGAGATTTTCTACCATTTCTTTCTTTTCCTGCCCAAGTTCCTGTTTTCCTGCAGGACCAGGGGAACAAATGACACCAATTCCCTTTAAGTGCACAACAAGTCACAGAGACAAAATGTCTTTCACTGTATTATGGATAGGCTGGAATAGCTCTGGTGCTGATTCCTCCTCTCCATGACAGCAGTGAGGGAAGGTATTACATACACTAGCAGTTTAGACAGCCCAGGAGGTAGTAACACCTATGTGAGATGACTCTCAGCAACACATCAAGCTTGTTTTACCCCCACAGGCCTAAGAGCCTCACACACTGACTCTACCCCAGATCCTGCAAGCATCTGCCCACCCATTTCCTTGGACCAGTGTTGCCCCTCACTCTCATAGTCAGGTCTCACTGAGCCTTGCAAGAGCCCAAACTTTTTAATTTTGTCATTTTAAAGCAAAAGAAGCCACATGAAGAACCTCTAAGAAATCCATTTGCAGATCAGTGCTGGCTGCAACTTTGGGCAAAGGAAGCAGAGAGTTTACCAAGCTTGCAATGGAGAAAGCACAACACCAGACTCGAGAAGTTAAATTAAACAAAATGCCACTAAAAACTTAGCTGCTGAGACAACATTAGAAGACAGTCATGAGAGAAGTAATGGCATTAATTTAACAAATGAATTCCTGAACACTACAAGCCGAGTAACAGGGAGAAGTCTCTCTATAAAATCCTCTCAACAATTTCATTGTCACTGTAACAAACTGGAAGGTTGGCAGAAAACACAGTAAAGATACTGTAACTCTACTAATTAACAGGGCCTGTGCATAGGGAACAAAATATAGAAGCAAAAATACCAATGGCACAACATGGAAATGGAAAATGGATTGTTCTGAGTACATGTATCCAACTTTCATAAACTGCAGCAGCATCAGCTATGAAGGTGCTGCATGTAGATCACCAGGCTGAAATGAGAACTCTGCCCTGATTTAAATCTGCTCTTTTTGTGGTCAGCTGGAAACTCTCCAGATTCCTCCACAGCCATGGAGGGCAGGGCACTGCTGACCACCTCACCTCTGAACAATGCTTGGGTGTATCTGAAGTGCTGTGGCTAAAAGCTTAAAACCAGCAGTGGAGATCTCATAGACAAACTTCAAAGTATCTTACCAGGCATATGTAAATACTTATTAAGATTTATATCACATCTTCAGTGTCCTTGACATTTTACAATAGTGTTTATCTCCTTGTTTGCTAATTCACAGAATTGGATAATCTACAAGAAATTTACACATTAGAAAGGAGCAGGATTCTCAGGCATGACTTCATAAACATGACATTAGCATGGCAATGCTCTAATATAAACATACACAATGCTAAGTAGGACTAAAGCATCTCCTAAGGGCAGAAGAGGCCCTGTATGCCACTGAACAACGCTGTGTGACAACGTGCAGGGACTTGATGGGGGTGAAAAGGCTCAGTTTGTCCTGTGGAGCAGTTCCCTGCACTGCCTCTCCAGCCTGAACACACAGAGGAAAGAGGCTGGGAATTAGGTCAGTGAATCAGTGACCCCTCCAGTTGCACCAGCCCAGCACTCTTCTCAGAGGAGGGGAGATAAAACAATTTCAAGGCTAAACCAGCTCTATCTAGTGGGAGTCTGTCTACAAATGTGGATTCCTTTTTTCCCAGTGATAAATAAAACCCTGAGTAGTCTGTGCATTGTGACCATTTATAAAGTCCAACAGGAAGCTTGTATTGCCAGTTATTAGTGCTCGCATGTACAATGAAAATAAATCCCATTATAATGAAAAATTCTATTTTTACCTGGTCACTAATGGGACATAAGAATCATTCTGAGACATCATTTCACAAAGACACCTAATGAAAATGTTTCCAACAAATACCTGTAAAAACTAAACTGGGGATTTAAAGACTCCCCCGTAACGTGAAGGAGTAGCTGTGAACAGTTTTGGAGAAGGCACACACTGTAAGCAGATGCAGGGTTTTGTTACTCTGTTAAGGATGTCAGAGGCATTTACTATTTTTCCCCTGACTCATCCTTTTCCTCAGTGGATACTCTGACCCTTAGCCCTGGCAAATCCATCAGTACCAAAAAGTTCTCTCTAGTACCTCTTTAATCACTCCCTTGCCATGTGCTATCTTACCTGCAGATGTAATTCTTCTTGCAGGATTCTTGTAAATTCAGGCAGTTTGGTTTCTCCCTGTCCTCATATGAACACACAGGAACAATAGTCTGCCGTCTCCTCTCTGTACAGGCTACGTCTCGACAGGAGCAGAAGAGCATCCCGTAGCTGTGCTTTGGGGGAACTTTGTCAAAAAATAGCCGGAGGGCCTTATGACACTTCCGCTTGTTACAGATTTCATTAGACGTGCTGCTGGTGCAGGGGGTTATGTAAGCAGATCTGAACCTCTTGCAGGTATCATTTAGGTTACAAGCTTTGGCTGCATCCAAGCAATTGTTCCCCTTTGAAAGTACTGGCTCCACTAGAAAAAACAACACAACAGCAGTAAGAAACGCGTCACATTTATATTGCGCTTTGACGTTTGTGGTTAGTTCACTGTTAATCAGATCCTGAATATATATTGGTTACACACAAAACTTTCAGTGCCAGGAACTGTGACCAGTCCTTGTGTTCCTCAGGGTAATGGTTTAACAAGTGACAAGAGCACAGGCATGCGTTAAGGTCAGAATGCTGGCAAATAAAAGATGAATATTCTGGGCAGGTTGTACTTCGTCCTCCGTGTAGCAAACATGCAGGATGAATACTGGGTAAGACTTGGTCTCACTAAACAGCTATTAACCCCCCTGGCGACAGGATGAAGGTAAGACTTGGTCTCACTAAACAGCTCTTAAACCCCCTGGCAAATTGGAAGGGATATGTTTGACCCATCACACGAACACGGTGAGAACGTGGGCTCCTACCTCTGGTTTGTAAAGCTCTGACATTTTTTATTCTTCCCTTGAACAAATTAAATGACATTCTCTGTCTATCCCAGATAACAACATTTAAATGTAATTTGTGGTAAGACTTGGTCTCACTAAACAGCTCTTAAACCCCCTGGCAAATTGGAAGGGATATGTTTGACCCATCACACGAACACGGTGAGAACGTGGGCTCCTACCTCTGGTTTGTAAAGCTCTGACATTTTTTATTCTTCCCTTGAACAAATTAAATGACATTCTCTGTCTATCCCAGATAACAACATTTAAATGTAATTTGTGTACTCTGCAGAATGTAAAAGCCACATGCCCGTTAATACAGTTTCTGAGGTATGACAACAGCCCAGACAGATAGAAAGGAAATCAGGGGCAGTCTCACAATTGAGATCTTTCTAAGGCTACCCACAAGGCCTGTAGGCTTCATGCTTAGATAAAAACACCTATAAGACCTATAGATGCTACCTGAACCCTGGAAAATTTATGAAGCTTTGAAGATGACATAGAATTAACAAGTGACCAAAAGAAACATTTTAAAACAAGGAGTATGTCTTGCTCACACACACACATGCACACATTACAAGAATTTATAGGAAAAATTAAACTCAGATATAAGTTAAGGCTATAATTACACACTTAATTTTGCAATACATTATCCAGATATTAAAATCCAATAGATGCTTTGCTTGAAAATCAAGGCAACTGGCATTAGATTGCAAAATTCAATTAGGAATAACAGTAATACTGCTTTGGATATTAGGAATGTCAACATCACAGATCCAAGAAAATACATTAACTTCCCACTGCTACAGAATTTGAAAGCTGGAGAAAACATTTCACAAATATCTAAAATTCTGCATCAACCTCTTAAGGGAGCTGGCCAAAGACAAAACATCTCAAACAATCTAAAGCTCTTAAGTTCCTCTTCAAAAAGGATTTTTTTTTTCCTAGATCTTCCACCTTTAACCAAAAACTCAGTCCAAGGTCTTTCTATAACTCAAAGCTGCTCTTCTGCATTCTCCTACCACTCTGCCTCCATTCCCAGATGAGGCAGGAAAAGATGAGGCAGCTTGGCTCACATGCTGCACTGAAGTACTACGTTTGTTTGAACAGACTGTGCCCAAGACAGGCCTTGGCTGCTAGTACACACTTTGCATTATACAAATATATCACCTACCACTGTCCCATGCATCTTACCTCTCCAAAAATAACACAAAGCATAAGTACCATTAGATTTGTGCTCACTCTAGCAATGTGCTCTAACTACATTCAGTGGGTTTGTACATTTAACCTTTGTACTGCTCACTCTAGCAATGTGCTCTAACTACGCTCAGTGGGTTTGTACATTTAGCCTTTGTACATTTAACATTCACCCTCCAAATCCTTCCCAATCTAAGCTGCTTGCACAATAAACTGCATCTCACCCTCCAAATCCTTCCCAATCTAAGGTGCTTGCACAATAAAATGCATTTTTTTGCTTCTAATCTTCATAAATTACAAAATTACAAACAAGCAACATTTGACTATAAATTAACAGAGCCAAGTACCTCTTATAATAGCAGCCTACAACAGTTTAAGCAACACCAGATGCAGAAGAGATGAGATACCCAAAATACAACCCTCCCATAAAATTGTAGCATTTTTATATAAAATCTTGTACTACATTAACATACAACTATAATCTTAACTATGAACTCTCAAAGTTTTTTTTATACAGTATATAGAATTATATGTTTAGTACAAATATAATTACTATGTAATCTCCAGGGCATATAATTATGCAATATATGAATAGTACATGCTAATTACTATGTGATTGCAGAGTAATTACATGGTTATTTGTGCCTGGGAGTCAACTGCTCAATTCCACTCTTTAAAACAAAATTCTGTGGAGGAGCTCTGAATGGGGTGTTGCAATATGAACAGACATCAGCTTACTGTGTGATATATGCTGCTACAGAATTAAGGAGCATTGTGAATATGAGCACCTCAAAAATCAAAAGGGACAGGTTAATCAATCATTTTTTAAAGGGCAGAGCGTAAGTCAAATCACTGACAGTGCAAACAAACAGTGAAGTTATCTTGGATGAAAGCTGAATTAGGTGCAAAGTGTTCCAAACAATAGTTATGCATATTCATATCTGTGATCCAATTTATATCTGTCCAAGACCCACATTCCTCTACATGTCAACTCTGAACACAGAACAGTTTTCAGGGGGGTTTTGTTTCTTAGACTATCCTTGGCTGTAACATGCCACCTGTCTTTTCTGTTTTGATACATATGTCTCTAGCTATTGTTTCTGGCATATTTGCCATCACATTATACAAATTATTTTTACCTTTTAAAACCAAGACTAAGATACAACACATATGACAGATGCATCAACTGCATTTGACTTCAACCAGACTGTCTAAACCAACTCTTCTCATTAATACCAACTTCTCTTAAGCTTTTAAATCTTGTTTTAATGCAAAACTGACAATCCAGAACACACTCGGCTTTATTTTTATTGCAAAAGTGCAACATAACTATTTTTAAGTCCTGTGGTAACTACAAATAGTTAACAATACTGGGAGTGTTTCTGAGGATTACTTATGCAGCAGTAATATATAAGGTCAAAATTTCACCAAGCTTCTGTTCTGCAAAGCTTAAATTATTAAGACAGGCAGGAGTTTGGCTCTTACCAGGTACTGACTGCTTTAAAAGCAAATGGATCTAATCCAGAGCTACTTTTCCTGCCAGAATCCTTTGGGAAAGGTTTGTGTAAGGAGATCCTTTCTCAGTTCCCTCCTCCCTTGGGGCACTCAGATATGGATTGAGGGCAGTCAGGGCAGCAGCCTGGGACAAGTAATGATTTCTTCCCACCACCATTTCCCAACCCAGAGCTTCCTCTCTCCCAAGTCTGCTTTGCCTGGGCCTATTCTGGAAATCTCTGCCAAACCATGTAGCTCTCCACTCCTGCCAAATCATTGCAGACTCTGAGGGAAGTTACTTCCAGGCAGGTGATAAGTGATGCCTCATGGCTGTGTGCAAGGCACTGGTTTCCATCTGCAGCAAGGGGCCCAGGAGAGCTGGTCTGGAATCACCAGGATGCTGCCTCCCAGCAGACGCCTCCGGCAGCTGAGAGCTGAGGATGCTGCTCTGATGTGGTGCAGAGCAGAACTCAGCCAGAGCCAGGAGCTGCTGCCTGGGTAGCAAAGCAGAAGCTCCCAACAGCCAGAGAGTTAGGATGTGGAAAACTGCCCTCCTACACCAGGCATTTTGCTGTACACTACATGCACAAACTCCTGGGCAGCAACAGTTGGCTTACGGATACGAACTGACCTCTACATGCATCACTGGCTCACAGCTCTTCTACTGCACACATAACACATGCAGGCAAGGTGACATGTTTTCTGATCAATTTTACCGATGAAAAAGCAGCCCTTGTAGTATAGCATCAAGCGCAACCACGTCAATGTTTGCTATCTCCTGAATCCCCCGACCCTGGCCAAACATTGCTACAGCTCAACAGCCCTGGACTCAATCTCCCATACAACTGCAGAAAGAAGGCAGCCAAACACTCCAGTCTGTCATCCAGAGGTGTTTCTAAAGTTTTAATAGGGCTTCCTCTGCCCTGT